ACCTATACATTTTGAAGGAAATCAACCCTGCAGGCTCACTGGAAGGACAGATCCTGAAACTGAGCGTCCAATACTTTGGCGATCTCATGAGAAGTGAAGACTCCCTGGAAAAGACCCTGATGTTAGGAAAGTGTGAGGGAAGAGGAGAAAGGGACGATACAGAACGCGATGGGTGGACAGTGTAATCCAAGGTACCATCATGAATTTGACCAAACTCTGGGAGGCAGTGGAAGACAGGAGGGCATGGTGTGCTCTGGTCCATGGGGTCACAAAGAGTTGGACATGACTTGACTAAAGAACAACAAAGATCCTATCAGCATGTGAAGTTGGAATCATTTGCCCCAAGAATGATCCACTTTATATACTTGCTTACACTGAATTTCACTTGCCATTTGAATGCCACTAGCCCCATTTGGAGAGATAACTTTGGAGCTCCTCATATTTCTAAATAATATAGTACTGTCTCAGTCACCCAGAACTGTCCATGATTTGTAAGCATAATAATTGACAGCAACTAGCCAGTAACCATTTTGAAAAGGTTGTAAAAGATTGTATTTCTTCAGGGCAGCATAGCTCTATTTCAGCATTCCCCATTTACGTATGTTAAACACACAAGAAGGAAGGGCACTACTTCTGCTTCTTCTGTTACTCTTATGTGGAAGCTTGCTTTGCAATCGGACCACTGATCTTCCAGGGTTCTGGAACACACAGACAGCCTCCATTGACAGAAAAGGCTGTATTCCTCATGTCATCTTCTTTCTTCTTCACATAGGAGAGCAAGAGAAGATGCCAGGCTAGGCCACTCCTCCTCATATGTCGAGGAAACATAGGTAACATCTGACTATAAATTGTAATACGAGATCTTATTCTCTGCTACTGATTCTAACTTCTTGGAATAAAGAACATCCATTTCAAAGCATGTTTATGTAGTCTAAGCCACTGATCCAAGTGAACACCAGAGATGGTTGGGGCAGTTCACTTTATGTCAAAAACAGTTTAAGCATTTCACTAGCTGAAATTCTATTTGTAGTATAAATGATAACTTTCCATCTGCGGGGGTGTATGTGCATACACACGCATGCACGCACACTTGGTACATGCACTCTACCCCACCCTCAAGAATCATGGCAGGAGAGGCATGTTTACCACAGAGGACAGATAAGAAAGTTACAATCTGGCTTGCGCTATTAACAGGATTTCAGCCACTGAAAAAGTTAAACTGTAGGTTGAAGTGGTGGACTGTTTCACTTGTGGTGGTACATTGTTTCAGTTAAAAAAACAACAGTTGGCAGGTAACAGTACTTACCCAGAAACTGAGTAAGAGCTGCATCAATGTTAAAGACCCAGGATTGAAAAAGATTGTATTTATTCAGCTGCATCAATGTTAAAGACCCAGGATTGGAAAAGATTGTATTTATTTATTTATTTATTAGAGTTCTATCCCACCCATCTAAACCAAGGGTCTACTCTGGCCAGTTGACAAATTTAAAAACAATACAACCAAAAACCAAAAAGTCCAAGATGGTGAAGTATAAATAATTAAGATATGGCAGTTAAGATATGGCAGGAGGGAAAGCCTGCCCAAATAGCCAGGTTTTAAATTTATTCCTGAAGATACCCAGAGAGGGAGCCAGGCGGATCTCTACAGGCAAGTTGTTCCAGAGGCGAGGGGCCACTGCCAAGAAGGACCGGTTCCTCGTTCTTTCCTTTCGGGCCTCCCTCGGCGTTGGGCCCCTCAGTCGCCCGGCCTGGCTGGAACGAGTGACTCTGGCAGAACTGGGTGGGAGAAGGCACTCTGCCAGAGATCGAGGTCCTAAACCATTTAGGGCTTTATATGTCATCATTAGGACTTTGCAATCAATGTGGAAACGGATGGGCAGTCAATTCAAGGCAGCCAGCGTGGTGGAAATATGTTAGTACCTTTTCACCCCAGTAAGAAGTCTGGCCGCAGCATTTTGTATCATCTGAAGTTTCTGCGTCAATCTCAAAGGCAACTCCACATAGAGTGCATTACAGTAGTCTAATCTCGAGACTACGAGCGCATGGACCAGAGTAGTGAGTGCCCCCACATCAAGATAGGGACGCCGGTGAGCAATCTGTGCAGAACGAAACACTGACGACACCTGGGTCTCCATGGTGAGCATCGGGTCCAGGTGTACACCCAAACTGTGAACCTCACTCTTGGTGTTAAGAGTCACCCACCCAAAGGAAAGAGAGTTTCCCAGACCACTGATGTCTGGGACACCCACCCGAAGGACCTCTGTCTTGCCCGGATTCAGCCTCAGTCTGTTAACCTGCATCCATTGCTGAACAGCCCCCAGGAAGCGCTCAAGGGACGAGACAGCATCCACTGTTGTTGGGAAAAAGGAGAGGTAGAGCTGAGTATCACCAGCATACTAATGACACGGAGCCCCACATCCCCTGATGACCCCTACCAGCAGCCTCATATAGATGTTAAATAGCACTGGAGAGATAATCGAGCCCTGCAGAACACCACAATTGAGGCTCCACAGGGCCGAGAAACTCTCCAATCTGCACTCTCTGGGGACAGTCCTCCAAGAAGGATCAGAGCCAGGTAAGAGGAAGGCCACCGATTCCCAACTCAGAGAACCTCCCCAGAAGAATACTGTGGTCAATGGTATCAAAGGCAGCTGAGATATCAAGGAGGACCAGCAGAGACATTTTGCCTGTCAACTTCCCTCAACAGGTCATCAAACAGGGCAACCAATGCTATTTCCATGCCGTGGTGTGGCCTGAAGCTCGACTGGAATGGCATTGGTTTCATTCAGAAGAGCCTGAAGCTGATCAGCCAACCCCTCTCTACTACCTTGTTAAGGAAGGAAACATTGGCGACGGGCCTATAATTACCAATGTTGTCTGCCGCCAAGCTCAGTTTCTTCCTAATGGGCCTAATAAGTGTCTCCTTGAGACCCATTATTGCTGTAGCCCATTCAGATGTTATAGGCCTTGCTGCTTTGATTAGCCAGGCCAGGCAAGGATCAAGGGAGGAGGAGGAGGCACGACAGCGGTCAAGCACTCTGTCCACCATGTCTGACATCACAGACTGAAAGTGGCTCTCATCGGGCAAGACGGAGCACTGGACGTCTCAGCTTGATTCACTGTTTTCAAATAGTGGGTAAGATCCCGGCGAATGGCCTCCACTTTTGATTTTTAAAAGCCTGCAAATTGGTCAGGTGAGATGCTAGTGGGAGGCCAGTCACTATGACCAACTCTGGATAGATCGCGAACTATACGGAAAAGTTCCTCCTGCTGGTTGGAAGCTTCGCTTATCTGGAAAGAGAAGTAAGATCGACTAGTAGCCTTCACCTTAGATTGGTAGAGGTTAGTAGCGATCCTGACTGCTATTTGATTATTTTCCATCAGGTTCTGCCTCCATACACGCTCTAACCTTCTCCTATTTTGCTTCATTGATCACAGCTCTGGATTACACCAGGGCAAAGGGCGTTCTCTGCGCCGGAGAAGGCGTTTAGGTGCAATTGTGTCAACCTGGTGGCGGCAGTCAGCCAGCTATCAACCAGAGCGTCAACAGGAGCGCCAGTCAAATTGGACGGAATCCCTCTCATGGTGTCCTGGAATCCTATAGGATCCAATAACCTTCGAGGGCAAGCCATTAAAACAGGTTCTTCCTCCCCGGCGACGGCGGGGGGGAGCCACTGCAAGCTTGAATTTAATTAGGCAATGATCCGACCATGACAAAGGGAGAGGCACTAGGTCAGTCACCATTGGAGCACACTCACTCTGCTCAGTGGAGACCATGAATAGCAGAAGAAAAGAACACTGGAAATGTAAAATGTACGGCAATCACTGCACTGTGGGACAGCATGTGAATATTTGTTTAAGATGGCTTGTCAGGAAAATATGAACTAAACAGGATAATAGATTACAGCAGTTAATTAATTATTCTTCCAAATCATCCACTCCTGAAAACTGGAATAATCTGAGTAAAGGTGAGCTGGGCACTACTTCTCTCAAGCAGAATTTTGACTTACACTACATTTTGGACACAAAAGGCGAGACAGCCATTTATATTCAGATTAAAATAAATCAGATGTAACCAAGAGAAGAACTTTGGCTCTTATTTGTCCCAAGATAATAAAGTTTGTACAGCCTGAGAAAGCAGACAGTTTCCTTGAAGAGGTGAGAACCACAAAACATGTTATTTGCACATTCTGGCTCACTAAGGCAGCCAACAGGATACTGGTCAAGCAGGTAAGAGGAATAGTGAATGCATTTCTACAGCAAGGCAGAGGCATGCAAAAGAGGCTATGACAGTGGCTCCTAACCTTGAGTAACTTGGGTGTTCTTGGACTGCAACTCCCAGAAGCCCCCAGTACAGTTGCTGGTGAAGGCTTCTGGGAACTGTAGTCCAAGAACACCCGGGTTACCCAAGCTTTGAAACCAATGAGCGATGGTAAAACCTCTGGAGAAAAAGCCAGGACTGAACTGCATCATAGTGAATAATTACCAGCCAGTTTCCAGTTTTCCATTCTTGGAGAAAGCAGCAAGGAGTATACATATGGTATTTTACCAGCTACAATAATTTCTGGATTAGATTAGATACTAGTTGCTGAGAAATTGGGATTGAGAGTGAAAGTGATGTGGTGGAGGGATCTTGTTTGGTATTATTCCTCTGTATTAAAAAATAACTAATAAAAAGTTTCAAGAAAGAGCAGTGTATCATCATGTACTTTTAAATTTCTAGCTAGTCAGCAGATATTTAACCAACCTTTGTTGCATTCTATCAAATCCGTTGTTATTTCAAGATGCTTTGAAAAATGAGATATCCTTTTCTAAATTTCTCTGTCTTATCCACAAGCTCACACTCCTTTTTCTCTATGTCATACCCAAACCTGATTCATCAGAAATTCAAAATAGCATCAAATGAATATATTGGCACCAAAGAGAAGCATGTCTATAAATACACCCAGTCTCATTTCCCCAGGAACTCATGAGAATACAAGTACTGTCTGACTTATTGCACCATTTAAATGTTATTTTATTAAATATTTTCAGTTCAAGGTTTCATTATAACAAAGCTATGAAGGTTCTACCAACATTCAGGAAAAAAAGCCTAACTTGATTCCAATTATTTCTCTACCATGCAAATTTTTTGCATCAAACGCCTTTCATTTCCTGTTTAAAACTTGATATAGTTGTATATAGATGCTTACATTAACCCCATAAGAGAACATTTAAGAATGATAGACGTCTATTAACTGTGTTTGATAATGGCCATACCAAGCTAAGGTTCTTGTTAAATTAGAGCATGTCTTAAAAGACTGTGCAAAAACAAAGACAAAAAAATTGCAACTCAAACTGTTCCAAAAATATTTTTGAAAGATGCAGATACTTATTACAGAGGGTTTGTTATTAATAATTTTCAGATAAATAGACATGGAAAGATCAGACCTAAAAGCATGCAGAATTTTGTTGTTGTTTTTTAAAAAGCTGCATAACTAATTTCCTGTTCCCCATTTGTTAAAAACGTGAAGAGAAGTATCAAGGCTTTTCTTCATTACCTCACTCACTACTTTAATGCTGTCTAATATGTTCTATATTAAAGTCTGGCACCTATCCTTCCTTCTGATTGAATGCCCCTCCCCTATTTTCCCTCCATATAACTCTTACTGAGATTTGACACTGAAAACAAGAAAGGAGGATTTGCACAGACCAACTTCGTAAAGGGTAAATGCCCTTTTCCTGCACTGGGTATAAACTGTGGGGATGACCTAGAAATTTCTCATCAGCAGAACAAAAACGGAGATGTCTCCTGCAAAACAGAAATACATCTTTTGTGTTCCATGAGATCATATTTTAACTTCCCATTGTCCTAAACTCCATTAAGAGGTTGCTTCTCTGTTATTCTGCTCAGACCTATTTAGGGAGCAAAAGGTTTAGTTTAACAGAATCCCAGGTTATCAAAATATTGTGATTGGATATGCAAACGGCTTTGATGCCTTTCATAGGCAGGCTACAGAGAAACTACTAAAGTAAAACAGAACATGGACGTTGACTAGCAAAGCTTCTATCCCACTTCTGCTGTTAAGAAACAGGACAAAGCAACGGCCAAAAAGCAAAGTTATCAAGTATTTCCTACCGAAGGAGTAAAGAACATTGAATGCCATCCTTTGTAGCAAAGGAGACAAATGTGGGTGGTACAAAATGGAAATCCCCTGCTTTGTGGGGTGCACCAAGGTTTCTACCAGTGGAAAATGCAGCAAAAACTCTAAAGCCTTCTGTGTGAAGTAGAAGTAGTAGAAGGAGATTCTAATTCAATGGTCTACTGAATAAATACACCATCATAGGTTGGGAAGGAAATATAAGGAAAAAAATCAACTGGAAATAAAGCGATGTCAGATGAACAAGAGTAGTGGAAAAACTACTTGCCTGAAACTGCTGGCTCCCTTTGCTAGTTTTATCAGAAAACAAATCAAAACTGGGAAACCAGTTAGCCCTATAGTTATAGGGACGCGCATATATATCTATATATATCTATATATCTATATATCAGTAAAAAAAACACAAACTAAGTTACACACAGGAAGCAAACGCAGGTGTGTGCAAATCTTCAGGGCAGAATGTAACACAAAAGCTTTTTTCTAAGGAGCACATACTCTGCAGCATTCTGGATCCCACCTACTCTAAATAAAGAAAAACAAGTTAAAATAAAACAAGCCATTTGTGTACTTTCTTCCCTATTTGCTCTTAAGCTTCACCTTTATAAGCTGACTTCACATCTCCAAGGAGTGGCTGTTTGTAAAAATCAGTGCACCTCTGAAGAGCAAGCTCTTAAGCTATTTCCAACCAACTCCTACTGTTCCTTAAAACATTCTTGCTCATTTTTACACAGTTGGTCAGTGGGAGCCAGGCCATGAGCTGACTCCTGCATCTCCACTGCTGACACTTGGGCTCAAGTCAGTCTGCTGGATGGCAGAGGGCTGAGAAATGTCCTACTTCCATCTTGCTCCCCCTTTCACCACGCTGGCCCTGGGGAGCCTGTCACCAGCCACCTCTTGCCATGTAAAGTTGCAGCATCCCCTGAACACATAATGTTAGTCCCCACTGTGCCTTCGCAGAGCATTAAGTTATCTGCATTCTGCTGCCTAAGCTGCTCTCTCACACCCCCTTTCTTTGCTCCGGTTCTGAAAGATGCTCCACAGCTGCTGCCCCATTTTCAGCCCTGGAGAGGGAGGCGCAGGACACTCCATCATGGATGATCTCTTTTCTATACAAACAATATGGGTTTCTCTCAAGATTTATAAGACACCTTCATACAGCAGAAACAGACACGATGGATCCATGGAAAAACAACAGAAAGGTGGCAGCGCCTGGAGCATCAGATTCATGCAGGGTTTCGTGCATTGGCTGCTGCCGGTTTGTAATTCATATTTTTTTTAAACGTCAAAACGAACATGACCGTTGCTGTAATTCAGGCACTCCAGAGCTGCTTGCTGAGAACATATCGCCCTCCTGCTGAGTATCTCCGAAAGCTGCTGTGGTCAGAAAAGGAACAAACATTGGAAGGGTGGGAAGAGAAGAAAATGCAGCCATGTTAGATGAAGAATTTACATTAGTAACTTTCAAGCTCAGAAAGATACACATCAGGTGTATTCAAGGTGGGAAAGCAGATCTCTGAAGAAGTCACTATATAGTACAGTACAGTGATTTCTTCAGAGACTTCGTTCACACTCAGAGGCACAGAATGTGACTGTTAGAAGGTGTCCCTCCCCCAATTATACACTATTGGGGGAGGGACACCTTCTAATTTATATCAATTTAACCAAACACTTTGATGGAGGGTTTTTTTGGGGTCACAATAAACAAACAACAGGTCAGAATCCCACAGGGAAGAAGTTACGCTTCTGATTCTAAATCAGAGGAAGTGAAATTACAGAGCAAGCAATATATATTTGGCAGATGTTGGAGGAAATGGAAGACCAAAGGAAGACCATGGGGAGAAGCTCATAATGTGTTCCTTGTACACAGAGATTTATTTTAAAAGTACACATTAGCAAATTTTGCTCAGGGTAGCCACCAATGACGGCATCCTAAGGATCACCATGCGAAGATAGCAAAATTATCATCTGGAGAATTCTTATTCTTTTTTTTGCATTCCAAGTTAGGCTCTCCTGCCAAGAAGGCAGTGTTAAAACACTCTCTTTTTTAGGAAGTGCGGAACTTTTTTACACATCTTCACAACAGTTAAGCAGTATAAACTGTTTTTAAAAAGATTGGCAAATAAAACTACATAGGAAGCGGTCCAAGTAGCCACCCAAATTACAGTTAGAACTTAAGGGAGAACGAGGGAAGTAACAACTTTCAGAAAAGCTGCCTAAAGATGCTGCAAAGGAACTAGAAGAAGCATTTCTAAGATTACACCCAGAGATCTGTCATGAGAACTGTCAAAAGACAAATGTATGACACCACATGCTTGTTGTGATCTATAAAGCCCTATACAGCTTGTGTCCAGGCTATCTGAAGAAAGACATCTCACCGCGAGAGCCTTCTCAGCTCCTAAGATCTTCAAGGAAGTTCTTCTCTCAGTCCCACTGCCCTCAGAGGCATGTCTGGTGGGAACGCAAGAGAGGGGTTTCCTCTGGGCCTGATCCCAGGTTATGTCCACAGGCAAGATTAGGCTACTCTCTTTTGCCCTTCAGGTGCCAAGAAAAGATGTTGCTTTTCTTAAGTACATAAGGCTCTCCTTGATATCTTAAGTTATCCCCTAAGTTTATTTTTGAAGGTTCTTTTAGTGTTTTAGATTATTAATATTTATACTCTTGTACATTTAATCATTTTTGGTTGAATAATATATTGTGTTTTTAACCTTTCTCGCATTTTAATTATTGTGAGCTGTGTTGAGACACTTTATGGGAAAAGACATACTAAATAAATTATTCTTACCATTATTATGGGCTTGTTCTGTGTTGTTTTCTCAAAGTCAGCTGGATAGAGCTATTTGCTTTTTTCATTAGGAAACTATCCCTGCAGACCATGTCAACTGTGGCTGCCACATTCCATAGTCACTTTGCCACATTCCATAGTTCAATCTTGGAGATTATCTGAGCAGCCATAGCAGAGAACTACCACCAATCCATACATGAGCTACTAGAGGAAAGCCCGGGGCCTAGGGCAACTACAGAATGACCAAGTGGTACAGATTGGTGATCCTTCTACTAGCTGAATTTTTGCAAACAGTGATGACAATATCAAGTCTACGGAAGGTCTATCTATAGGAGAAACTCTCATTAGTTTACACTTGCCAGAAGGACAAAGGGCATTTTGAAGACCTTGCTTATCTACCAGAACTTATTCACCCTCTTTAGACTCTAGAGATCCTTTCATTTCTCGAAGTAATTGCTCATCAGTGGTTTTATGGCCTGGATTGTTTTAAAACTGTATTTTTGAAGGTTCTGACACATCTTTCCAAACTGGCTGCAGATGACCACTCAAAGAAGTACAGTTCTAGGTAAATAACCTGTTCGCTTCCCTCTGAAGAGCTATGCCCTGTGATCAGCTGCTCTGCCTAAGAATGAGGGTTCACAGGCTGTCCTTGCCTACTTCTGAGACAAAAGTGTCAGCACTTACAAAAATAGTAGCATGCCTTCAAGCAGGAACTGACTTGTAGTGACCCTAATGTAACTTTCAAAGTGAGTGAGATAAGTGGCTTTACCAGTTCCACTCCCTCCTTGAGTTTCCATGGCCAAGTGGGGATTTGAACCCTGGTCTCCAGAGTCCTAGTCAGTCCTTTATTCACTATACCAGGGGTTCCCAACACTGAGTCCTCAGATGTTCTTGGACTACAACTCCCAGAAATCTTGGCTAGCATAGCTAGTGGTGAAGGCTTCTGAGAGTTTCAGTCCAAGAAAAGCAGGGAATGCTACACCACACCACAATGGGTATGCTTACAAAGATAACACAAAATACAGGTCCTAGAAGGAAATGGTACCCATAAAGTGGTGGGGAAAATGTGATCCTTGTCCCTAGCCCTGGCTGCTACTTATTACAATCTCAAGATGTTACACTGTCCTGGTTCTAGCAGCAAGAACAGCAGAGAAAGAACTAGCACTTAGAAAAAAAATGCTTTCCCTGTGAGTGTGGTGTGATGAAGCAAGGCAGCACTGTAACAAGAGTGGGAGTTTGCTCTAGCATGAGCAGTAGGAGGACAGAAGTCAAATGTTGCTCTGAGCAAAGGCCAGAAGGATGATTTCGCCATCATTTTTTTTGGGGGGGGGGAGAGGGAAAGGAAAAATTTAGTAAATAGGAACCAGCACCACTTCCCATATTATGACTCTCTTAGTCCCTGACTCATAATGGGAGAGGGGAAGAAGCAATCAGGAGACTTGGCAGGCTATTCTTGTAACCCTGAAAAGGTTTGCTCATACTACCATTCCTATCCTTTTCCCCTTACCCCTCACTTTTTCTTTTCCTGAAGTTCTCTAAAAATCACAAACCAAATTATTCTGTTGTACACCCTTCCACCCACCAGGGAAGTACATCACCACCCAGGTCTGACCAACTGAAAGCACCGCAGAGAGATCACCCACATTAACCACGGGTCCAATAAGTGAAGCATAACAGAGAGAAGACTGTTCTTGGTGGGTCTTGCTAAGGAACCTGCTCTTGCTGCTACAGATCACATTGGCCTTGTTCACCCTCCATCTCTGCCTTCACTACCCACCTAGGGAGCCTGACACCGTGAGAATGTTGTGCTTTTTGTTGCTGGAAAATAGTGGTGGTGGTCTCTCGATTTGGCCAGGGCTGTCGAGATTCAAACTGCCAAGTCCTCTCAACAAACTCCCAGCCACAAGTGTCCCTGTAAAAATTATCTTTGCTCCTATATACTGCTCCTCTTTGTACTTGGGGGCATCTTGGATAAACATACCCGTGTTTCAGCTTCACTGGAGCGGAGCCGCTGGGGCCCCAGAACAGTGGTAGTGGACATTCAGCCACTTGCCATCACGACGGTGCCAGACACGGGTCTCTTCAGACTGCATGGTGCGAGGACGGCCTTGGCCATCAATATACTGAGTCAAGCGGATGTAAGCAATGCAGGCTGCATCATCGCCAATAACATGAACATGGGGGTTCAAGATCGTGGTATGGATTGGCTTGCTGTTCTTGGACAGTACTGAGGAAACATTAAGAACAATCAGGATTCCCACCACATCATCACCAGAAACTGGCTCTATCAATTGCTATTTTGACTACATTCATTGCTGCGTCATCGTCTCTTCCATCCCAGTCTGTCAATCAATGCAGGATTCCCAGACACTTTTGTACCCGAGCACCCATGAAACATCTTAGTTTTCTTTTCTAATTATCTCTACAGTACAAAGTTTCCAAGCTTTCAAAAGAGAATTAGCATCAGATGTTTTCCCCACATGTCTATGCAAATTCTGCAAGAACCATATTTTCTGTCATTTTTCTCAACCTAGGAGGTCATTGGGAAAGCAGAATTTATTTATTTATTTTATTTATTTATATCCTGCCTATCTAGTCGATTAAGACCACTCTAGGCGGCTTACAACAAAATAATAGTAATTAATAGTGATATTACTGCACATGGCTAGGATATCTTCTATCTCTTGGGCTAGCCACCAATAGTTTGTTAATGCTTTGGACTGCAATCCCAATCAGCCCCAGCCAACAGAGTTAATGGCTAGAGATTGTAGAACTTGTGGTCCGAACCCAGTAGTGTAGTAGCAAATGCTGAAGTGTAGATGCGCATCATGGTCGCCTCCACAATCAGCCCCCAGCCCCAAAAATGATGTGTCAGTCTATATCAACAAACTGAAGAATGGGCCTTTTGAAAACTAAGGCTCTTAAGTGCCTATTTAAGACAAAACCAGCCTCTGCATTACAACAGGGATGGCTTGTAGCAATTTACAGTTCCTGGAAAGATCAATTTCTCTTTCAGCTGAAGCCCAAGAGAGCAGGCCAATGATGTCAGTTTCTGCTACTCAGAATGCCCTGGGGCTTCCACCTTGGGAGCAATGGCTCCATTATACCACCATCCAAAACATTTCAAGAACAATCAGTTAAGGAAGGTGTCAGACTTTCGGCATCATAATGAAAATTAGCTACCAAGTCAAGAATAAGCTGAACATTTCAGAGGAAAGGTCCATGGCTTTTTCTTCCTATCTCTTGGAAGGCTTTGCAACACACAACATGGCTCACCTATGGTTACATTTCAAACTGGTAGGTTAACATGGAGGGTATTACCTCATGCCACAGTGGTTAAACTGCTGTACTGCAGCTAAAACTGTGCTCACAACCTGGGGTTCAAATCCCAGGTAGCGGCTCAAGGTTGACTCAGCCTTCTGTCCTTCCCAGGTCAGTAAAATGAGTACCCAGCTTGCTTGGGGGGGCAATGTGTAGCCTGCATAATTACCTTGTAAACCGCCCAGAGAGTGCTTGATGCACTATGGGGCTGTATATAAGCAGCACACTTTGCTTTTACTTATTTTAAACTGTGGTTTTCTTCTCTCTGATGCTGTACTTCCCCAAGGGCACTTTTAGGTATACCCTCATATGGATAGATGGGATGGTGTGTGTTGAAGGGAGAACAGAATCTAGGGATATCTTTACACAATCTGACCAACGCTTCAACCATCACATGCAGGTCTGAAGAAAATCTGGCAAGATAAATGCTGCTGTTTGTTTTTTCCCCTATTCTGTTCTTTTACTGTTCCATTATTTACTCTTCCTTGTTTTCCACTTGCCCTGAATTATGTTTTTTTTTAAATTAGAAATACTAGGAAGTGGTGGGATGAGACCATCAGTGGTCCATATTTGGTCTGTGGGCCAGAGGACTCAATCCTTTGTCCCAGTACATTAGCTCAATTTCACAAACGTGACTAATTTGGAACTCCAAAACCTGGGAAGAAAGTCAGAAAAAACATTTGGAAGCAACATCCAATGAAACCTCCAAGAAAACTAGAGCTCCCTCCTAACCTAAGCAGAAAGCGTGAAGGTTTACTTTGTTGTTGCCAGTTATTTACCACTCACAGTTCTCAAAGTAAAACTTGTGGAAGTCCATCCCCTCCACGAGATTCCCTAGAGCTTCAGGTTCAAAAGAGGTCAGCCCAGGGTCACAGATCTTCCTGTAACAAACAAAACATTCCTGTCTCATTGGTCCTTTGGATCATTTATTGGAATTCTGTAGCCTGTGCCATGCAAGTAACTAGTACCATATACTTCTGATGCAGAGGATTTTCTAGAGTGCTTTCCCAGGGATCAACACAAGCTCCAACTTCTTCAAGAACAAATCACAAGCAATTTGAAACTTTAGGACTAGAATCCTTCTGCTTCAGTTCTCAAAGGAACGGAACAAGTGCTTGGGATGCAGGTGAGAGGATTCTAGCTTCCATCTTGTTCTCAAAAAAGCAGCAAACTACTCTTCAGTTCTCACTCATCCTCCTCATGCACCTGGTCTAGCTATATTCACTGTCCTCACTGGGACTCATTTCTACTGTGCCACTAAGCAGCTATAAGTGCATATTTATTTTCAAATTACTAAGGATCATATTTGCAGAGAAAAAGCTCTGCCTAAAAAATACACAAGGTAAGAGCTAACAAAAGGGGAATTACTAATAATCAAGTGTGCTTTATGTGTTGGATTGTGACACCTAGTTTAGTGGGAAAATAAATTTGCATTTGCAAAGGTACCTGTGTACATAACCCATAATGGCGTTACTGCAAATATTAGCATTCAGTTCTGTATTGCTACTAAAGCTGTTTTCATTTAACATGCAAATGTTGATTTTCAATCTTAGAAAAACATTGTATATTAATCCAGTTATTTATTAAGAAGAAGGCCTAAGTAGCTGTCTTGAAGACAGCACAACCTGTCTGAGAGAGAGAGAGAGAATACCAAAGAAGAGTAGACTAGAAATCTCCTCCCTTGTATGCCAGCCCTCTATGTATAGGGATATTTAATTTCACAGGGGTATACCATCACATGAGCTACAACTGCCTGAGAAGTGGTACAACCCTATATCGGTGTATTTGCCTTCATGTTATCTGCATATTTTATATCAAGAGTGCTACACTTGTTACATCCAATTTACATTTGAGACTCTCTGAAATGACAAGAGACACTTACTCCTACCTTTCCAGTGTTCTGGCTACTGAGGGTTGTGGGTAAAATCCTATTTTGATTTTGGAATGCTGTCATGCCCTCTGCACTTCTACTTACGTGTAAGCCTCAAAGTCTCCATTGTTGATTGCTTCTATCAGCTGCTCCGTTATCTTGATGATCTCCTGCTTACGCACTAAGGAGAATGAAAAAGGCAGCTTTAACATGCGTGGAATTATGAGAAGCACATGGCAAAGAAGTACCTTTTTCAGAACAGTCAACAGAACAACCACCAGCTTTATTCCCAGTGGTGGATGCACCGCTGAACTAAAGAAGAGTAGTGATGACTGCAATCCATTTGAAGGGATGGAGTCTGGTAGATGAAAGGAAAATAGGAAAAAGGGAAAGACAACATTCATGACAACAGACGTGCTACAGAAAAATTCCGCCCGAACACTATATCTAAGGATCAGGTACAGCTGCTTATGAAGGACTTATGCACTGACAGTCAAGGATCAGACTACTCTGAATCTGCTGTAAGGCTGCCTTTCTTATCTGCAGTGCAGATGAGAAAAGAAGAGATGAATCCAATGCTCACATAATGATCCAGTCCTAGTTGCAAGACTGAAAGCAAGGTCATAAACTCACACGCTTTATCCCTCGCTCACTTCCTCAATCTCTGCCATTCACCCCAATTTCATGTCATGTATTCCTTGCTTCAACTGACGTTTAACACAAACTATAGTTTCCTCATAAATCAACGGCTTAAACCATAATTTGAAGCTGATTTACAAACCATGGTTTCAAAGGAATGGAGGCTGTATTGCACACACATAATGCAAAACCACTGTTAGATGGAAAGAAGGGACAGAAGAATCACTGAAGAGGTGAAGGAGGAAGGTGGAAAATGAGGCTTGTTTTGAAAACTGCTGTTACAAGGGAAAAACATATTTGCAGTGGTCACATCACAAAGTCCTCTGTTTCTTAGTACTGCATCACTACACAACAGGAAGTACAGAAGTGTGGGCCCAAGTTCCACAGACCTTGAAGAAAAGATACAATGATATGTCTAAAACAAATCTCCCATAAGAAGATTGTACTCATGAAAGATTCTCAACTCTAATCTCACTCTGATCTGTAACCTGACAATATAAAGCACGTCATCCTTCTATTGACTGCTGCCAACTTAAATAACCTGCTTCTACTTCATCACTGTATTATTCTATGGCCAAGTTAGTAACCACCAATTATTCCGATACACACTATCTGTAGTAAAGCCTGGAGATAACTCTGGTAATAATGTTTCAGCAGTTAGTTTTGTGAGCCTGCAGTAGCAAAAACTCAGCCATGACTCCTATGTACAGAACATGACTGTACAACTTGTTGATGCTGAACCAAGCGGGATAAAGACAAATGGCAATGAGCACAGTTTTTCAAGTGCCCGAAAACCCACATCCAGACCATTTGCTTCTTGTACAATATATGGAAAATGCACACCTACTCTTTTGTAAGTGCTTATAAAACTGTTTCTCAATTTTTAGATGTTCGTTTTTTAAAAGATGTAATCTGAATTCTGTAGCCCTCTAGACAAGCATGAAGATGAAAAATCTCCTGGGTTTGTCCATAGCATCTCTGCTTCAGATGCACAGATGTTCTATTTAGCTGGTAAGAGCGGCTTAGTAGAGTTGGTGGAACTACCACATTTTAGCAGTTCTGAGAGGGTGGTAAGAATAAAGCACAATGAATTTCTCCACAAAGGTTCATTTCTCCCACAAGAGGTCATTATAAGCAAAACATCCCTTGCCTCTTAAATGAAATAGCCCTGACACTATTTTCTTTTCCCAATGTTTTATACACTCAAAATATCTAACTACCAAGAAGAGCACATAGTCACTAAGAAAGACTGCACCACCTGTAGAAACATCTTCGAAAAGCAAATGTAAACAACTTGATTTCTCATCCATCAGTGTATTTTTTTTCAGCCACTGAAAAACAATTATCTCCATCACAGATGTCAGCATTTATTTGCCTTCTGACTTTTTCATATGATTGCTAGCATCATTAGTCTAAGTGCTCATATTCTAAATTGCAAGTGAAATGCTGCCATCATGACAACAGGTGGATTTTATCAGTGTTGAAAGAATCTACATCTATCAAAGAGTGTGCAATATAGGCACTATCTCCAATTAAAGTAATCAAAGCTACATGGTTGAACCAAGTGTGACTAACCAGGTCAGAGAGAACATACAGGGCAATCTTGTGGAAACCCCCCTGTAAGTATCACTGTAGCATTCCAGGTATATTGGGGTACACTGAAGGTAGCTTCACTGACACTTGCTCCAACACTGTGTTGTTTTTTTTAACAAGTGGCCCAAACAAGCAGAATTGCCCTAATATTCTGTTTAGGGACTGCTCTGAATTCCAATTTCACACCAAAGGCAGGATACAAAGCAATTCTGAACATGGAGAAGCTAACTGTAGTTTGGGTTGTGACAACTAAAAGAAAAACAAGATTCTGCAAAGAACAGACGTTTCCTCACTTTAACTATTTTCATTACAATAAAAGCACTGATACACTGCGAGGGCATTTTATATATGACAGAAAAAGATCTATATCAAATATTGTCCTCTACATCAAAAGAAAGAGGCAGGGAAATGAACTCAGCCTGTGACTTTCACAATAGTTGCATCTGACATCCTACACCAAATTTTTTTCTTGCGTGGAATTTGCACTGAGCCATAGGCTTGTGGCCATGAAATCAACTCTCAATCTCTTACGCTGTTATGTGCTATCAAATAATTTCTGATGCCGTGTCCTCAGATCTCTTACTGACAGCTAATAGCTAAACAATTCTCTAAGCCAACAAGTAACTTCTTTACTTCAGTAAAATGCATTTCATGTAGAATGCTAGAGTTCTCACCACATCTCTGGAGATGGGCATAGAACTTGCTGACAGGAGTAAAAATTGGTTGCATTGTCCCAAGTGCAAAGATGAATGAAGAAAAACAGGATATAGTTTTGACATAGTCATTTAGAAGAAGATGCTTATGTGAAAGTGACAGAAATTCTGCTAACAATTTTAGCACGTTTGGAGGCCAATTGTATTACATTCCAAAATTCTGAAATTTACCTCTGCTTTAACATAACTGATTCCTAGGAGTCTAATTTAGCACATGAAAATGAAAACAATTACTTCATGACATCAGACTGATTTACCAAACACCCTTCTTAGCATATCTATAATAAATTTAAAGAAACTGCAATGTGAGATTTCCAACCATTTCATCACACTTCTGAACATTTCCTGTCATACCCTGGAAGGCTGCTGACATTTACCAATAAATGATGAAAGTGAATTAAGCAGTATATTAGAAAAACCTGGTGGTTTCTGAGCTACACTGGGTTATTTAGGAAAAGACTTTTGCACATTCACCAATTCTTAAGGCATGAGAAGGTTGTTCCAATTCTCTTTATTGAAAAAACAATGAGGATGAATTCTGATAATCAGGCCAAACAAGCCTGTCTGGTTTTCATATTTAACAGTATTGTGTGAGGTCTGAGATTGGCTTCCTAAAAATGTTAATAACTTCTAGTAAATCTCAGCATTTGCCTTGTTTCTGATAATTATTCATTACATAGTAAAATTACAGTGTCTAGCACCACAGAAGCAACACACAGTACTTGTAAAAAAAGACCACAGATTTTAAACAGGCTCTTAAGATTCATTATGAAAATATTCACAGCACTTGAAACAGTTAAACAACCAAGGAAAGAAGCAAGTAAAGAAAAGAAACTCAGATTCATTGTGTTTTCCATTTATTAAATTCCCATTTTCCTAACTTATTGGAACAAATTCAATGCCTGTTTGGAACAATCTCCTCATGATAAGTATGGTGGCCATAATCCTGCTGGTCTAATGCAAGGTAAAAAACAATTATACACGTGAGCCTACCCGCATTGCCGGCCAGTTCTCAGATTTCCTCAGCTCTTAGGTCAGGGAAGCAGCCATGCACCCATTTGCATGCTTAGTCACATGACTGATAACAAGCGATGACGAAATAAATGAAGATGCATGGTTTTTCTGAACAGAATTTTGGCCAATATATCTACCCGCCACAGTCAGATGCCTGCTAATTTAACAATACAATCTGTAAAGAGGCTAGCTTGTGTTGGTTCCATTCAAATGAAAGCAAGCAGCACAACAGCATGGCAAAGGAGAACCTCCTAGTGCAGTGTTTCCCAACCTTAGATCCCCAGAGATTATTGGACTAAAACTTCCACAATCCTTCACCGCCAGCTGTGCCAGCCAGGATTTCTGGGAGTTGTAGTCCAAGAACATCTGAAGACCCATGGTTGGGAACCACTGTCCTAGTGGATTAAGCACTTAGTAATGATGGGTTTACTAGCTGGCTCATCCCAACAGAAAATAATAATTTGCGAAGGCTTTCATGGCCGGGATCTAATGGTTGTTCTGGGTTTTTCGGGCTCTTTGGCCATGTTCTGAAGGTTGTTCTTCCTGACGTTTCGCCAGTCTCTGTACTCTGTACAGGTTGGTGTCCTCTGAAGATGCCAGCCACAGAGACTGGCGAAACGTCAGGAAGAACAACCTTCAGAACATGGCCAAAGAGCCCGAAAAACCCAGAACAACCAGAAAATAATAACTTTGGGGGAAGACAGGGAATAAATATATTGTTTGGGAAAATAAAGGGTATAAAGGTTAAGAAAAGGAAAATAAATAAGGAATCCAATACTGTTCGTTCAACTCCTGCTGCTACTGCTAATTAATGACTAACTTACATGGTGGATTGTTAAGTGCAAATGGAACTACTGGAGTTAGGACAGGCTCCGACTGAGCACGATCCAACTCCACTGTTTGCCCTGGGCTGTCCCAGGCAAGAAGTTTCTCGTCACAAGACTGTGTAGTAGTAGTAGTAGTAGTAGCTGCAAAACAAATGCAAGCATTAAAATAAAAATTACAACATAAAGCAAAATAAGGACTGCACTGAAAACACACAAAACACAGACAATCCCACAGCACACACTGCTCCCAGATGCAGCAGATCTGGTGCCATTGGGGTAATGTGGAAACCCTTCCGAAGTGGAGACCAGAAAACCCAGTAAGATTAGAAACTGGAGACAAATAAAAAACAAGCATAATCAAAGTCACACCGAAGAAAGCTTCCACCCATGCAGACTTTCTACATTAGGCAACACATCTACAGTGTGCTTCTGTTTTAGTGTTATTCTGTTTTAAGGGACAGAGCCGGGTATTGGTTTCAGGGACAAAAATCCAGTTGGGGCAATGTCAGAACCTACCAGCCAAACACATGTTTTCCTGCCACATCAGTCCATGGGAATGGGGGAGATTGGCAAGAAAAGAGAGAAAAGGTATCTCCTCACAGACTTGGGGGAATGCTTTATGCACATCCAATTTTGCAATGCTGCTGAAGTTCAGCAGGCTTGGGTCTGGTCAGCAGCTAGACAGAAAATCTAGAAAACACAGGGGTGGAGAAATGGAACAGCCCCAGGTACTAGATTGGCCCCAGGACTAAGCTGATGGGTGGGATAATACCCTCACCTCCAAACCCACTCAGGTCTCACACATCCTGCCACATGCAGTTTCCTATTCTTCCTGCAGAGGGAGACATGCCTCTCTCCCCATGGAAAATGCTCCTGCTATGGACAATCTCAGAGTTCAAGTGGCAATGGAATCCCCACCATCCCTCTTCTTCCCCTCCAAGTTTAGGGGAAAGGGGTTCTCCTCCTAGGCTGAATAAAATATAAGCTGCCTTGAGTGTTCAGGGGTAAATATTATAAAATAAATGAATATAACCATGCTACTTCTCTAACTCTTGAGCAAAATGCCAAAGAAGCCTTCACTGGTTTCATCCTAATGCTTCCCTTTCTCCATTCATGTCCCAACAGGAAAGATGAAAGAGAAGTAGAAGACGGGAGCCCTAAAGGAAGATTTCTCAGAGTCTCCAATGTGTGCTGCCAAGGCTTTGCCTGGCCATTTTCACGTAAGCCATGGGCTCCCTTGCTTGTAGTTTTCACAAATGCAAGCAGAGGCAAGGAATGTGTGGAGAACATCTGGTTTAGAAACAAGATGGCCCAAGTAAGGCTTTTTGTGTCTTCTGTCTTTTGTCCTACCTACCATCTCTTAATGTCCATGTCCTGTCTCACCCACAGCTTCCATTTCTTTCAGTCCCATCCTTTCTCTAACTAAACACTCTTAGAAACAAAATTAGTTATATAAGATCTGCATGGTGTTGTTGTTGTTGTTGTTTTGGTCTCATTACACAGGTTGACTGGTATGAATGCAAAATATATCTTGATTCTGTACTAGCAGAAGTTAACAAGGACCTAAGATTTACCGTCTGACATATTCCATTGTAAATCAAGGTAAAAACAAAGAGGTGCTTCAACAGAAGTCTCTGCAGGATTGCTGATAATTGATTGCTAGTTGCCCTTATTGTTTCAAACTGTTTTTCTAATACGCATCAGCCTTTATGCGTGCATTTCCCAATGAACGAAGACTAGGCCAATGGCAAGTAACCTATTTGTCCAGTTTCTGTTACTTGTTACAGCTTAACAAGGCCTTCCATTTCAAGATTTTGGGCTCTTTCCTGAACCAAATTATAGGCTAAGTCAGGGGTTATAGAGGATCCTGTAGAAAATGCCTTGGAGAATTACATGTTTGCTTCTAGTGTTGAGGAATTGGCAAAACAATAGATAGTAGCATAGGTGAAAGTGCAATGAAAAACCAAGGTAATTTTGGATAAATATGTGAAAATGAAACTAAGAACTTCTTTCAGATCAGCTCTAGTTTTATACCAATTTATAGCAAACTATTTCACACATACCTTTTCTGATTGGAAAAAGTGTGAGAAAACTCAAGAGGGAAGTATCCAGAGGTGTCTTCCAGACACTTTGAACTACGATTCTCATAATCCCTATACACTAATAATGTTGCCTGAGACTGATGACAGATGGTAATCAAAGATATCTGAAAGGCATAAGGTTGCTTGTCCTTGTTTTGTACACATTGCTCTTTCCTTGTAGAAAAAAAAAATGTAATGTGGGAAGCAGTCCATAGGACTCATAACCTGACAAATATTTCAACAGAGATTCTAGGTGATCTTCATGGCTAATGCAGACTTCAGCTTATTATTAAACATCCCTGAACACTGGTGGAGAGTTATGCCTCTTATCCTACAGGGGTCCCACAAATATGGTAGGTCCTTGGGGGAAAAGGATACACATCACCAAGCATCAAACACATTTTTTAAAAAAAAATCACAAAGGAAAAATTGATATTTAGCACAAAGGAAAACAGGGAATGAAATCAGCTAGATCATGGTGTTATTTTATTAGGACATAGGAACAAAGAGGAAAAGAAGTCCCTTTGGGAAGTGTTATATGGCCAGGAATGGGTCTAGGAAAAGAGATGAATTGGATTGGGATAGTGAAGTCTTACAAATGATAGTCAATATTCTGGAAGAATATTGTGGGAACTGATTAAGGCAGAGAAATGTGAGGAAGAAGGGAGAAGGAAGGGAAAAGGAAGAAGCGAGAGTGAGTCAAGGCAAGGAAAGGATGCTATAACCCCTGGACTTACTGGCTGAATAACAGAGAGAAAGCTGGGACTGCATGGACTCAGTCTGGGTTTTGCTCTCACAGTGACTCCGTCCTTCAAGCACTGAACTGCCATCCCCGATGGAGAGAGGGGGCGCTTGCATGGCAAAGAATTTAAAAAAAAAATACACACAGGACACACACACACACAAAAACAAAAGCAAAAAACAATGTACATTCAGTAAAAAAAGAGAATGGAACAGGACATCAAAGCAACTATAACGTTCTGTACAAAAACACCTTGCTGCGGGCACTGTCGAGCCAATGGTAGAAATGGCTACTTTCTGCCAGCACCAGCTCTTATAACTCCAAGGCTACTGAATCCAGTAATACTAAATCCAGCATGATTTCTCATATACTTGCACCAGTCCTTTATCAACAGTAAAGAAGTCTTAGATATGAAGGTCTCTTAGGAGCTAACCTATAAACTGAAGTCATGCAAAAATGCTGGTAAAGGACTTGGTTCCAGTAGAAGACTGGCTTGTCCAAGGCTCTTCCCACCCTACTTGGGAAAGGTTGGCTTATTATGGGGAAAATACATGTGTAGCAGAATGTGACAGAAATGACACAACAGGGAAACAGCCAAAACATCAACACTGACACAGAGGTTCCTTTTGAAAGCTGAATGGGATTGACCAAAGGCTCCTATAATTGATTTCTCTATGGCCCAAATTTTTGTTCAAGCTCGCACAGAAACTGTAGGATGAGAAGACATTGCTGAGAGGGCACTTCATCTTTGCTATCTTGATGGATTTCATTAATGTATATTAGCATTGTGCGGGCTATGAACATTGCAAGCTGCCTTATACTGGGAACAGACCAGTGGCACACGTGGCCTCTCTTGTCTACTGTTTTGCTGGCAGCAGCTTTCCAGGGTCATAGTACAGGGAGGTTTTGGCCCTGTTTCCAGAGATCTTTTTAAAGTGGAAATGTGAGGAACTTTGTGTATAGGAAACATTCTCTCTCAATCACTTTGCTCTTTGTAGAACACTAGGCACCCACCTCCATAGCACCTCTCCTGCAAAAGCTCAATTACCCTTCTTGCAGTAAAGCAAGCCCATCAGGAGTTTTCCTCAAGGAGACAAACAGCAAATGCTGTTACACCCCAAATATCCATTTATTCTGCTCTTTCAACAAGGCATCATATGAAATGCACCCACAGGATCACCAGACCTGTTGAAGATCTGGGTCTGGTTGGTGGGGGCAGAGTTAGATATGAGATATTCTCAGCCAATGGAGCAGCTGCCTTTCTCGGCTGCCCAGCTAAGGCCACCAGTCAGGCTGGAGAGAGAGGCTGCTTAGGTCCCCTGCTCTGAAGGTTACCCCTGCACAGCTGCTGGATGATGATGCACTGAAGTTTGAATTCAAGAGCCTTTCCCTGGTACATAACCTCCTTAACTTGACACCATCTTGACCTGATGGAGAGTTCTGGAGAACTACAGAGTTCATCTTATTTGTAACTTCTTGGTGATTCCTAACAGGACAACCTCTTCCTCAAGAGAAAGAGCCCTGCTCTTCCACATCGGTGAGCTCCTTATGTCGGGCCCTCTACTAACAATTATTGTCTGTTCTGCTGAAAACAAGGCAAGCTGGTTTTGCCTGCATTATCTGAGCAGGTTGAAACAATGTATGAGTTAACTCAAGGAAAAACTATGTTCTTATGCTTGCTTGAGAAAATACAGCAGCTTCATTCTCTCCCAAACTGCTGTTGGATTTCTTAAGTTGTAGATGCCTGCCTTGAAGGCAGTCTGTAAAAATTAGGACAAGTAAATAAGATAGTTAGACATGTCTGGTTTAGACATCAGAGAGTCCAGAAGTAAGCAGTTTCTCTATATAGTTAACAACCTAACACCACAAACTCCTGCCACTGGGGCAAAAACTGTGCAGAGCAACCCAAATCAAGAAGAGCCTGTCATGGGAAACTGCTCTGCTAGTGAAGCTGGACTCTCTTGCTGCTTGCTATGATAACACCTACCTTTCAGGTCCTCATCTTCAGTGGTGGTATTACAGCTCTCTGTGGAACCCTGCAAGACAGAACGTTAGCCGATGGAAATATCAGCACACTGAAACTGAGCAGGCTTCTTCAAGAGACAGCAGGAAGAAATGGGTAAAAGCAGGGAAAGAGAAGGGGATTTTAGACCAAATTTCTGAAAAAGTCTAACTATGATCATTCAGAGAGGAGTAACTTTTCATTTTCTCTCATGCACTTTGTTCTCAGAAGCTGTTTGTTCACTTGTGAACAAAAAAGAGCCTCATGGCGCAGTGGTTAAACTGCTGTACTGCAGCCAAAAGTGTGCTCACAGCCTGGGGTTCAATCCCAGGTAGCTGGCTCAAGGTTGACTCAGCCTTCTATCCTTCCGAGGTTGGTAAAATGATTACCCAGCTTTCTGGGGGGGGGGCCAATGTGTAGCCTGCATAATTAACTTGTAAACTGCCCAGAGAGGGCTTGAAGCACTATGGGGGGGTATATCAGCAGCATGCTTTGCTTTTTGCTTTTTGTTTGTTGGGGGGAAAAAAAGAGAGAGCAAATGCTACGACCAGATTACTCCTCATTATGCTTAGTGTAAATTTGTATCAGTTTTGCCCCTCTGCTGGCAGTACAAGTATTTTTGCATTTCCTGCTTCCAAAACTGACCATTTCTAAAACTGATTTCTGAAAATAAGTTGAGTTTTGTATAACTGCACTCAAGTATCAACACATACCAACTGCAACAGAAAACCGGGGGTGGGGTAAGGGGTATAAAGCTTGAAATGGCATTGCAAAATTGCTACACTCATGTTGCCGTGTAAGTAGCCCCTCCCTCTTTTGAAAGTAAGATTGTTCTTAAGGAAACAGGTGTGAGAGAAGTAGCAAAGTGCAATGGCACACATTCCACAATGACAGAAAGGGACTCTAAAACCAACGGAGAGCTAACAGTCCAATAGGGAGGAGGCAGCCAGCCAAACAAGGGCAATTATACATGGGGAAAATAGGGCTGTTTGTTAACTCCACCCACAGCTGTGCACTGAATTTTCCCAAACCCTCTCTGTAATTTGTTGGAAAACCTTTGTTGTGTATCCCACTGCCCTCTTCCCCAGGCAGCCTATCAACAAAGGAAAAAAGCAGAACATTCAGATGGTGGCACTTCAACAGTTCTGCTAAGAAAGGGAAGGGAAGCATTCAATATGAGGACGCCTTTTCCATGCACATACCTCTTATGTTTTACAACAAGCAGTTCTGCATGGATCAATCACACACTTATATCTTAGGGATGCTTTGCCTATGCATTAAAAGTGTGCTGCTTATCTACCACCCCACAGCACTTGCAGCACTCCCTGGGCAGTTTACAGTTTAATTATGCAGGGTACATATTGCCTCCACACCCACCCACCCCAAGAGCTGGGTATTCAATTTAGCAACTTCATAAGGAAAGAATGTTGAGTCAACCTTGAGTTGACTACCTGAGCCCGTCAGGACTGAATTCAGTTCATGATCAGTGTCTTGAGTGCAGCACTGCAATTTAACCACAATGTCAAAAGGCTCTTTAACCTCACCTTTCCTTGGGAGACGTATGTATACCTCTTTACTGAAACGGAAGTTTTTGTGCCTGAAATCCAGTAAGTAGAATAAAAACAATGATAGACATGGAATTCAGGAGTGGTGGATCAACTATTCCCCTGTGTTTGTTTTACAATGGATCACACATAAAACTGTTTGTCTGTAAGACCCAACAGCTGGGGGGGGGGATAATAAATAAGATGCTTGATACTATGAAGGTCCTGTATGAACTTCACCTTACCTTTATGCCATCATTAGCATTGTGGACAACAGTAGTTTGTGGTTCCTAATTGAAAGAGGATAGAAATAAAGAATCAGATTCCAGCTCCAAAGTTTTCATTTCTTTGTACAGTGTCTGTTGGGAGAGCAAGGTGACAAACAAGAAAAAGCACAAAACCTCTATGCTAGGATGGTGTGAGTACAAACATGGACACAGACATCACCTCCCTTGCAGGTTCACTCAAAGACTTTCAAAGCAGAAAAACCCAGCTGTCACAGTAGAATTCCCAAGGAGACAAAGCCATACCTGCGGCTCTACATTCTCAATTTACCTTGTGAACTCTGCTTAGCCCAGAAACTCCAACAGGGCTAAGACAAACCCTGTGTAAACCCAAGCAAGTAATTAGTTGAACAAAAAAAGTGTTGCATTTTTACTGGGAGGGTTAATAATACTGAAAAAATTTAAAACAAATCTACTCAATAAGTAAACAAATAATGTATTTTAAAAACCCATATCACTATTTCACCCACTAAAGAGATATGATGAGATCAACAGTAGAGCTTTGTCTCCAATGCTTGCCCACAGAGCTTTCTGCTATTATTTCTCTCTCTAGAAGGACATTCATAATTTCCCTGCCGTTTTGGCAGCCAAATCACCCCGGCAGTCTATAGCAAAGAATTGCTTAGGCAGAGACCTTACAAAATCACACATCATGTTCAAATGGAGCTTTGAAAGTGAAATATTTTTGTAACAAAGGGGATCAGCTGAGCATCATAAGACCAGCAATGTAAAAAGCTGGTCCATATTGGGGTGCAGTGTTTATGGAAGGGATTGAAATTATGAAATATCCCAAGAGGGGAAAAACTGTTGAAGCTTTACATGGATTAAAAAGCACCTACACAGTCTCTAAGAGCCCATACTAAGCTCTTACACTTGCACTCATTCCTGAATTATTATGGAGACAGCTGGCCCACTGCCAAGTTTCACTCCAAGCTTTGGCTTGGCAGCAACAGCCGCTTAAGCAATAGGACAGTGCCACAATTTTCACACATCCTTTCATCTGCCATCCGTTTAGGCTCCTGACCAGTCTTTAAAGGAGGCCAGAGGGAGGGCATTTGGCATGAGTTGCAAAACACACAGGAATGTGCGGCTTGCTGCAAGAGTATTAGAGGGAAAACAGTGAAAACCTCAGGGCAAATAAGACAAGTGATGAGGTTTCCATTCATTTTTTTCCCCCCTCTGGAGACTGGATGCCACTGACCACTTCATCACAGTTTCCTTAAGGTCAAACATCAGGCACACGGACCACGGGAGCTGCTGGACAAGCTGCAGGCCTTACATACAGACACGCTACGGTTTGCACCGCTTACTTGCAACGGGACTGGAAGCACCCCGGGGCAAAGAATTGCAGACAGAACTAAGCCAAACACAGAGCAGCACAGGCAGCATTCTGGGCAAGGGAGGAACCAAACAAGGACAAAGAAATGGCTGGGAAAGATACCATGGACATCTGCATTGGGGGTGTTTCTTTTGCTGGGCTTACTACACTGGCTTTGTTGTTGGTCTGTGGCTAAGACAGAAAAACAGATGGTTTAGTTTCCCCCTGCCCTGCTGGGCAACAGTCACAGAAACATTACAGTACGATTCCTGCAAATCCACATATCAGTTCAGTCCCTTCCCAAAATCATCACAGGGAGAGAAGGAAGATGATGGAGGAGGTGGTGGTGGAAGAGGAGAGTTGCTGACTGATCTGTTATTTCCTCAAGGCAAAGAGATAGCCAGATATACATGGAAGATTAAGTATGAACATGCCAAAAAGATGGGCAACAGTGGTTGGCCCATCTGGCAGCAAATGGAGTAAAAATGCATAGTCTAAACCGGAAAGTTAACACAAAAGGAGGAAACAAAAGCAAGCAACACTTTCAGATGAAGAGCAGTTTGTTGGAGGCAACAATTTGTTGGCTGTTTATATTTAGAAACTTTGAGATAGAAGCAGAATGAAGAAAGATACTCATAGCTGTTCCCTAAGTGTGCTAGAAAAACCCATGCTTTTTTTTTTACAGTTCTATTTACATTTTAGATACTGAACCTGTAGATTCATGGTCACATGCACCTAGTTAATGAAAATCTTTTCATCTGAAATCCTTTCCTTCCAGATCCTATCAGCAAGTGTTGGCTGTCTGGCTCAGATTTCTTGACTACACTACTCCCAGAGTGAAAAGACTTGCAATCCATGCATTTCCAGTGGAGAAATAGTCCATTTCAGAGCTCCTGCTGGATAAACCAATCATGGATTGGGGAAGGGCAGATAAAAAGCAGACATTATTTCCTACTGTTCCTCTTTTGAGCTGTACAACTCTGCCGAGCTACAATTTATTTAGCGTACACTGTCCACAGTGAAGCCATTTAGAAATATGAGAGGGGACTACAGATAGCTGTATGTTTGCAAGTTTAATAGTCATCTAAAGTTACATGATGCATTTCTAACACAGAAGGCAAACGAATCTGATGCCATCAGCTATCTTTGCAAGAGACTACTTGAAAGTTCCAGCCACCTTGAGCTCAAAAGCACAATGGATAAATGATAAATAATAACAGAGGCAGAATCTCCTCCATAAAATGTCACGACAAAAATGTATCTGGACATAGAAATGCCACGTTAACCACCCTAACTACTATGACATCAATACCCCCCCCCCGCTCTCCATTTCAATGGCTATAAAGCCCCTTCCTTCATGGCTATTACTTCCATGTGCACTGAAACACAAATCAACAGTATGAGTTTGTAAAAACTAAACTGCTTCTACATAGCAAGGGTGGCAAACAATTCATCCCTCAAGTGTTTAAAATAAGCATTAAACACTTGTTATATTAGAAAAGCATTAGAAAAAAGTTGCAGGGACAAAGTTAGGGCCACTTTTGTGACTGTGATGAAAGCCATTTTTATATATAGTAGGACATCCCCCACCATATCCATGGGATTGATATCTGCGGTTTCACTTATCAGCGGTTTGCAGCAGCCATATATATAACATAGAACAAACAAGGACAACCCCCGTGTAGCCTTTGTCCCACCCCCTTGTATGTTGTGGACAGGGTTCCCTGCATCCATGGTTCCATTACTCCTTCCATGGTTCTATTACATTTTATGTGCATCCTACATGAAGAAGACCAATGGCAAGTTAGCTCTGTAGCTCTGTTCAGGAGTCATTGACTCAATCAATGAGAAGACACTCTTCCATTACTTTTAGCTTCTCCTCTTTAGATTCCTTGCTGATTGTGTGAAGAAAGCAATAATAGAAGGGATGAAGCTAGGCATTTCCTTCCAACTGTGTTAGGGAAACTGGATTCAATAATGCCTGAGCAGGGCGTGACTGGCAGAAACTTTGAATATTTCCTCTGTCTATCACCTGCAAAAGACAGGCAGAACAAGCCAACGTGATCAGTCACTCAAACTACAATGATTAACTATGCTCAACTTATCTCCTTTATGGCGCCTTCAGAGTTAGGAGCAGGAATAGGCACAATATGCCTCTAAGGAGGAAAAAGATAAACAAGGGATAGGACACAACACCTTTCAGCTTGCTCAGCCTGTACTCAAGGGAACCTTCAGAATGTCCAGCTGTCACAGCCTGGGTTATATCCGGCTGCTTTTCACATGGTAAGTGTACCTTGTAGATAGATTCTAAACTTGGCAAGACAGAGGTGGATGATTTGAGTAAGAAATCAAGTGTCTCAAATTATAAGAAATCTACTAAAGTAATTCGGTAGGATTTTACTGAAGAAGTAAATCTCTTTGAATCAGACAGAAGTTTATGACTGGACTGCTCTCTCCCTTAGCTTTCCAAAGCTGAATTCAAGGGCAACTGCACAGAAGTTTCAGCACAAGCCAAAACTCCTCCCCAAAAATCTATTGGGTCTTGCATCTTCTTGTTCCTCTGACCTTTCATGTAGCTTGCTTTCCCAATCTGTTTTCTAACACAGTAGCAGCCAAAAATAACACAAGTAAGGCCACAAAATGGGGTTAAGCAAAAGCCAGATGGTTTTCTAAAAACAATGATTAAACTTATAAGGGGAGAGGCTGTGGAAAGTTTGTATTTGTACACTTCTCCTATATTAATTTACTTAGAAAAAGGCAAAAGGACCAATTAATAGGGAAGGTTCAAGGAGAGAGCATGTTTGTGGAAACACTCCAACTTAACAGGCCACTTTGTTTTCCTCATTAATGTTGTTGCCAAAGAGGTTTGCAGGAAGCTAGCATACACAAACTGCTGCAAAGATACTCATAGATTATTCCAGCACAGACATCTGAAACCAAATTTCTGGCGTTTACTATATGCCCTTGACACACAGTTTGCATTTGTCTTACAGGACAGACTGCAAAGGCAGAAGCTACGCCTAGTGAAAAAAAACAAAAAACCTCTTCTTCCATTTCCAGTGGGGTCCACTGGGCCCAATTCTTACCAAAGAGGTCAACCGGTTTCTTGGCAATGAGACTTCAGACTGCCAGTGACTCACATGCACAACAACTCCCTTGCCTGTTTTCTATGTTTGCCACCAAATGATCTTAAGTGGTACAGTCCAGGTTTATGAAACCAAGGCCTCAGCCTCTCTTCAGCCGCAGATCAACTGTTTTGCCTAGTGCTAGCCCCTATTGGCTATAGACAAAATGATTCAGTCAGCTCAGGGGAAGAGGGCTATCATAGTGGCCATTCCATACAACTGGTTCCTGTCCACGTGGCTGGATTCTTAAAAAATTTGCCACTTTGACAGCAACAGGGGTTCACAAATAAGTGGTTTCGATGTAGCTTGAAGAATATCTACAGTGCACCTATCTCTAGACCGCATCGGGTCATAAATTAACGTGTGTTCCACACAGACTTAGCCTATACCCTAAGGCAGCAGGAGGTAACCAGCAACCGGCTTTGACAGTGGTACTTTAAAAGACAGGCAAGTTCTACCAGTGCTTTAAAATAAGTGAATGCCCAGCAGACAAATCCTATCATAGCCAAAGATAAGCGTACATGTGGGCTTAAGCCAGAATTATATACAGTGGTGCTTCAACTTACGACCATAATCCATTCCAGAAGATGGACGTAACTCAAAATAGTCGTAAGTCAAAGCACCATTTCCCATTGAAATGCATTGGAATGTGATTAATCCATTCCAGAAAAAAAACCCTAAAAATAAAACAAAAATAAAATACTGCAAGCCCCATAGGAAGCACTGGGGCTGCAAAAAAAAAAAAAAAAAAAAAAAAAAAAAGATTGCACCCAAAAATAAACATCGGAGCAAGCCTTGAAGGCGCTGCAGCTTAAAAACAAAACCTAACCAAAAATAAACAATGGAGTAAGCCCCATTGGAAGACCCTGTCAAGGATAATTTCCACATTGAAGCAGAACAAGGCCTATGGTAATCAGCAGCCATACTTGACAGGTGTGCAAAACGTTGAATCATGTAGTCTGGGATGTTGCAATGTCCACACTGATCGGCTGTATGTAAATGTGCATGTGTATAACTGTGTGGACCTGTGGAGAAGATGTACGGATCTCTTCTAAGAAATGTCATGCTGTCATGCTGCCGGTTTGTACTGCTGAACTTCTGAATATATTGTAAATACACTTGGTGTTGGAAGAAGTTGTCTTTGTCTGTGTCATTCAACTGGACTGCCTGGACTGAAACAAAAACTCTGCTAACTTACACCAGCAGGCGCTGGGGTTGCAAAAAACAAAAACAAAAAATAAGCAACACAGCAAGCCCTGAAAGTGCTTGGGCTTAAAAAACAAAACAAAACAAAACCAAAATTAAACAACGGAGCAAGCCCCATCGAAAGGTGCTGGGGCTGAAAAAAAACACCAAAAAACAAAACAAAACAACACAGCACAGAAACATAACCCCCCCAGCCCAAACCCACCCTGCAAACTCCACTCAGAACAGTTTTTTAAAAGCAGAAAGCAGAACTTTACCTTACCAGGCAGTCCTAAGCCTCCTCCGATGCACTCACTGTAACCGTTGAGGCGAAAGAGCTACAAAGAAGCAGTCTCTTCGCCTACCAATAGTAAGCAAATTTGAATTCCCCGCCTTTTTTCCCTGCCTTTTTCCGGTCACAACTGGAAGCTCCAGCCACAAGTCGAAGCAAAATTTTGCATTCGGAGCTGGTCATAACTTGAAATTGTTGTAAGTCAGGACATTCGTAAGTCGAGGCACCACTGTACCTTCAATTATAGGTCGAATATTTCATTTCTGATTAAATGATAGCATAAATAAGGTGGGTTTTAGAAATTTGCTAAGCTGATTCAAATCTAATTTAATATGCAGATTTAAAACTAAGGGAGCATCATGAGAAAAATAAAGAGACAAATGGAAATCAGCTAGGCATAATGTCTCCATGTGATATTCGTAGGGAGTTAAGATTAAATGTCTGATCAAAGAATAGAGTGAGTGTCAGTGGCTTTCCACTAGTTAGAACTGGCACTTATTCCTTTTTCAAGACTGTAACTCAAGCACAAAATTGACAAGAAGACCTATCTTTATCTTCACCACCAAGGATAAATAGGTACAACAGAGCAA